AGGCACACTCTAGTCCTCAAAGCAACATCCTTACTTTTCAGTACTCTAGAGAGATCTTGTGCAGCAGATTTACCTAATGCCATCACATTGATTCCAACCCACAGCGCCCCCCTAAGTATAGCAGAACTGCCCCTGTGGGTTTCTGAGCCTGTGAGTCTCTGCCAGAATAGAAAGCCTCATATTTCTTCCATTGAGCAGCTGATGGGTTTGAACTTCAGTCTTTGTGGTTAGCAGTCCAACGCATACCCACTACACCACCAGGGCTCCATTCATGAGACTTAGCATCTCTTTCTTCTGCTTGCTTGTTTAACTTCTTTTATCTTTCAAAAGAGGTTGACTCAAGAGATACCCTGTACTATATCTGTCTCATTAACATAACAAACACAGCCCATTCCAAAACAGGATTATAACCACAAGCAGAGAGGTTAAGGATTACAACACATATTGTTGGAGACCCACAGTTGAATCTGTAATCCCCTCCAGTTGCTTTCCACTATCTGTCACATTCAATTTCTCAGAAAATCCTGATACCTTTACCTCCAAAAGGAAGCCTGAATCTACTTTCTTCTTTCCACCTCCACCTGAATCCTCCAGATCTTCTTCCTTGAGTCTGTTCCAACTCACAGGACCCTCCGTATAACAGGAGGAAACGCTGCTCGCTTCTGCCATACTCACAATCATTGTTGTGCTTGAGCCCATCATTGCAGCTACTGTGTCATCCATCTCATGGAAGGTCTTCCTCTTCTTTGCTGACCATCTGCTTTACCAAGCACAATGTCCTTTTCCAGGGGCCGGTCCCTTCTGATAACATGTCCATAGTATGAGCAGTAAAGCCTCACCTTGCTTCTGTGGAGCATCCTGGCTGTATTTGCTCCAACACAAATTTGCTTGTTGCTCTGACAGTCCACGATACGATCAGTATTCTTTGCCCCATTGTAATCTACAGGGATCAATTCTTCCTTATTCACTGTCTAGCTTTCACGTGCATGTGAGGCAATGGAAGGACCATGGCTTGGGTCAGGTGCCCTGAGTCCTCAAAGGGACAGCTTTGCCCTTTCACACCTAAAAGAGATCTTGTGCCGTTGACTTGCTCAAAGCGATGCATGATTTGATTTGCTATATTTTCATAACTCTCTATTTCCCTTCTTACAGTTTTTATTTTCAGGCTAAAATAAATGCTCGGTACAATTATTTAAATGACTTCATGGAAAGGAAACACAAGCTGAAAAGACTTGGCATTCTGTGTTGGGAAAGTCAACAGCTCTCTTCCTATTTTCCAGACATTCTGATTTTTTCAGTAGTATTTTAAAGAAGGGCTCATACTTATTCTCTTTCCCTACATGATCTGGTCATGCTCCCGGGTTTTAAATGTCATCTCCGGTAACTATACTTAATTTAATATCTTCCACCTTGACCTTTATGATTAATATTCATTATACCTAGAGAAAAATACTTAGGGGTGAGGAAGCAAGAATGATAGAGTGTTTTTACTTCTTACTTAATTTAATTCTGTGTTGTATGAATTTTAAACTTTTCCCTTACAAATGAAAATATTTAACTGTGAAACATGATGATATAAAAAGTACTACGTGAAATAAAATACTGGGGAGACATTAAAGCATACATGTGAAACCTTTAATAAAATACTTAAATCCATGCAAGGTACTTTTAACTCTGTTGCTCATTGTGACAAACATAACTAATTATTAGAAACCTAACTCGACCAGGCAGTGTTTCCTGCTGCTGCATGTGGGGCTGCCACGGCTGGAAATGACTCAACAGCACCTGACAACATCAACCACAACATCTCTGCTTAATGGACTCTGATTAATACATTACGTTCAAGACTCAAGCCTATAGCAGTTACATAATCTTTTGTCAACTTGTGAATGGGTGGAGTTCAGCCTGTCCATCACGTTGCAGCTTGATGACCTCATTTGGAGGCTCGAAGGAGATAAACGGCTCCCTGGAGAGCAGACGCACGCTCTGCTTTGACTCTCTCTGCTTTGTCCTGCTGACAAGCCACATGGAGCTTTGCTGATGGCAGCTTTGCTTGGCGCTGGAGGAGTCACATGGAGACCCACGCCAGCACTGAGATGCTTCTACCACCACTGGATCCACAGAACTTTCCACCTATTGGTCTGTGATCTTCCTGCACTCTGCATCATTACATGTGTTGCGTGAGTCTGACGAGGTATTATAGACCGGTATTGGACATAGAGGCTAATATCAGACCTATGGTCTTGATCTGGACTAGGCTGGGATGTTTTCGTAATATACAATTGTTCTTTGATTTAAAGTTTTCTCATACACATATGAGTGTCTCTGGATTTGTTTCTCCAGGTGACCCAGACTAACACACTGAACAACTAAAACACAAGGTCCTTTAAAGGTGGTGTAGTGTGGTATGATTTAAAGACAATACAGCCATGCTACATCAAAAGATGTGAGCCCCGGTCATTATTTTACCTCTGGTCAACTGCATAACTGGGGACGGCCTACACTCTCTGAGCCTCAGGTTTTGTTTTTGCTTTTCATTTCTGAAGTGGAATCAAACAAAACCGGTTCTGCTTCCTTCTAGTGAACATTACATGAGATAATATTTATGGAAACATTAGAAAAAATGTATAAATTAGGTGAAGACATGCAGATACAATTCAAAAGTTGAAGAGGGTTTATGGACTGATGCTGTTTCAGCAGCAACAGACTGGTTGACTTCGTTTTTCTAAGTAGTGTTCAGCAGTCCCTTTGGAGAACCAACCAGAACAGACTTGCAAATTCACTTAGTGAATCAGAACAGTGTAGCATCGAAATTTTTCTTTTACTGCACCAAAAAACCAACATGGACTATCAACAATTTGAGCTAATGGCTCTAGTGACCGGTATGGTTTCTGGCATAGAAGTTGGTCAATAAACGCTTGTTGGATAGTATATGCATTCAATTCACAGGCTTTGTGTCCAGAGAATTCACAGTTCTGGTTTCTTAGAAGCCCTGCCAATGATTTGCTGGGTGACTAGAGGCAAGTTACAGTGACTTAATACCTTGTCATGTTCTCATCCATAAAACTGAGCCAGCACTAGCGCCTGCCGCATAGAATTACAGCAAGGGTTCATGAACTACTCAATACATCCTAAACATTGTTGGTGTGTCGTAGTTTTGGCACCAGGTGAAACAAGAGAAAGAAATAAGGCTCCTTTCTTACGGAGCTCACATTTTCATGGGGAGAAACAGAACAAGGGCACAGAAGCGTCAAAGTTGTGCGAGGACTCGTATGGAACTAGCCCAAGGTCCTCCAGAACAGAAAGGGTTTGGAGGGGGAGGTGCCATCTGGGGAAGGTGGTCAGGAAACCCACTTAGAGATGTAAACCGAACACTCATGGTCACCGGAGTCCGAAAACTCCTTGGAAATCACAGGAGTTAAGCACAGGGTCCTCAGATTTACAAAGGGAGCTGATGTAGAACCACTTCTTTGAAAGTGTGGGTTCGCAAGTTCTGTGAAGGCAAACACTTTATCCTTACACAAACATTGCCATCGTTAGGTTTAGAAGCGTGGTCTACCACTACCTTAACTCCACCAATATATTTTACTCTGGGAAGATGAAAAAATAAAAACACCTTGGATGGAGCTGAGAAGAGAGACCTTTTCATAGGTGGCCTGACTTCATCCTCACAGCGATGCAGAAAGGTAGGTGTTCGGCACATCCCCATTTGACAGATAAGGAAATGAAGGTCCGGAAAGGTGAAGTGACTCATCCAGGTCACACACAGGTTCCTTGAGCCTCATTAGCACATCTCACACAATCAGCATGCCAGACTGGGAGGCGTGGCCAACTCCAAGGTCCAGGACCTTCCCCTCACACCCGGATGTCATCTATACTTACATCATCACTTTAGCCTCTTCAATGAAATCTTCTTCAGACATACAGCCTTCATTGATGGCCTTGATGGCTACCTGGACATGCGCTCGCCAGTGACCTAAGTGGACCACTCCAAACTGACCGCTTCCAATCTCCTTTACAAAAGCCAACTCAGATGGATCGATCTCCCACTTTTCTGAAAAAGAAATTAAAAATGAATGTTAAAATTACAGGAAATGTTTCTGACTTGTAAATGAGTGGAGAGGATCTGTAGTCATTTTAAACGCTCTGCTGTTTTGGATCAAGGGGCCCTGGAGGTGTAGTGGGCTCCACACGGGGCTGTGAATCCCAGGGACAGCAGTTTGAAACCACCAGCGGCTCAGTGAGAGAAAGATGAGGCTTCCCCTCCCATAAGGATCGGAGCCCGCGGGGGCAGTTCTACTCTGGCCTATCAGGTTGCTACGAGTAGGAATCAACTTGATGTCAGGGAGTTCGTTTGGTTTATTACTGTAGTTGAAGAAAATGAGTCTTCAAGTTAAAATATACAGATAGCATGCTCTCCTTTCCAAGCAAGAACCAGAATGGAATATATGTCTGTGCTATTCTAAGCCAAATCTACCAAAACTAGACCACAAGATTTCTGTCCTCAACTATGTTGTTCTGGTGAATAAGATTATGGAATGTGTAATGCTCTTCTCGTTCCCACTTTTGGTCCTTCTACTCCTCTCCTTCAAACTCCCATGGCTTTTCTGTGTAGCCTGTCTTAGCCCCACCCACCCCCACTCACAGCTGTTGAGTCAATGCTGACTTATCGATGTAGGGTTTCCGAGGCTGTAAACCTTTATGGAACCAGACAGCCGCATCTTTCTCCCTCACAGGAGCTGGTGAGTTTAGCCTCCAACCTTACACCCCACAGTCCAACCCTTCCCTGACAGTGCCACCCCGGCTCCATCCTCATCCTCAAGGGAAAACCTAATCAACCCATCTAATAGCGCTGTCTAATATTAGGATCCGACCCACCTATATATGTGCTTAATATTAGTATATATATATATATATATATGTAAAGAAATTTATGCCACGGCGTATTTTCTTTTTCAATAAAAAGTCAGGGGAGAAGAAAATTGTGCAAAGAACTTTTGGAAACAAATAGCAAACTGTTTGGCAGCTCCTTTTATGCAGCAACACTGCTATCTGCTGGAAGGTTAGAACACTGCATGTAAAAGAATTTAAAAGGCAGCACGAAGTTACAGCTTTGCTAAGCATGTCATTCAAAAGTAGCTTTTAGATAATAACATGGAGGGGAAATACTCATGACCTGGAGATAGGCATATACTTGAGGAAAACTATCCAGGATATAATCCTATTTATTTTTTAAAGTATAGAAAACAAAGAATGTTCTGAAACAAAAGAGAATATCCAATGTACAGTAATCTGATGCAAAGCTGTTTGGAAAAAAAATCACTCACAGGGAAATGAAAAAGTTAAGCTATAATGAGATACAACTAGAAGCTCACCAGATTGTCTCCATTTTTTTTTCCTTTTTAAAAAGGAGACTAGCAAATGAATTGTTGATGAGTGACTTGGAACAACCTCTCTGGAAAACAACATTTACAAAAACTGGTGTCTGCATCACCAAGGGTCCCACCATGCCACTCCTGAGTGCACTTTACCATAGCTAAAACCAGCGGTGGCTGGCAAACAGCTGCCCATCAGTCCAACTGGGTAGCGCAGACGGGTCATGAGACCTAGGCAAAAAGAGAAAAGACATTTCAAACCAAAATTGCTCAGATAAAAAAGAAAACTAAACCCCTAGACAATAGCGCCTTTCTTTAAATAAATGAAGTGCCTCCTCCCCCTGCCCCCAAAAGTGTCTTCTACAGGCTGGTATATGTTTGCCCTCTACCCCACCTTCATCTGGAAAACATTTCCCATAAAATAATATATATGCATTGTACAGAATTTAAAGAATCCAAGGGACTATACAGATAAAGTGATGATTCCTCACATAAGCTTTGCACCTAAAGAGATACTGTTAGCATGTTGGTGAGATCATGGGAGCACTAGCTACTAATGAAAAGGTCAGTGGTTTGAATCTCCGCAGAGGTCCTTCAAAAGAAAGGTCTGCCAATCACCCTCTGAACGTTGAGAGTGCTGACAGGCCCTCAGAGGAGAATGAGGTGAGGATCAAAGTGCAGGGAGGCAGGCAGGTGAGAGAAAGTTAGCTCACACTTTCGGCTTGCACTTTCTCAATGGAAGCGGCAGGGAGGTCGCTTGTTGAGAAGGATAAGAAAGTGGATGGCCTTGAAAAAAGAAGTTGTGAAGGAATTGTAAACGTCTACCACGGTGACTATCGAGAACAAGGCTCTGAATACCCAGGTGAAGTTGGATCTCTCTGTGGTGCCAGGGCTACATGGAGAACCTGGGAAGCAATTCTTTCAGACTCCAACTGTTTTCTCTCTTTCCCAAGTTTTTATTTGTCAAATATTTTTATCCTGTGAATGACTTCTGAGGCAAGCGTTGGAGGCATCCTACTGTCTCGGGCAGAATTTCCTCATTGCCTTTACCCGGTCCTTTCTTCTGGGACCTGGATTGCTCCTGAAGTGATGGGGTCTCAGAATACAGATAATCATGGGTTGAAATTAAAAGCCAGTACCAGATGCCATCCTGTTCCTTTTGAATCATGCTGAATACATATGTGTCGACGTAGAGCTGTGCCCAGGATTTTCACTGATGGGATTTTCCACAGCAGATCCCCAGGACACCCATCCAAGACTCCTCAGAGTAGATCCCAGCCGCCAGTCTTCTGGTTGGCAGCCGAATGCATGGCTGTAACCATTGGCTTCCCCCAGGGACTCAGAGGTAAAGCCTCGCCCCAAATCGTCCATTAGCAGGATGGGCCTCTGTTTAGTAGGACCAGGCAGTAGAGCATAGACTTGAGTCTTGTAAGTTCATATCCCAGCCCTGCTACTAATTAGCAGTGTGACCTTAAGAAGATTACTTCAGAACTCTGTGCTTCCGGGTGTTTATCTGCAAAATGGAGCTCACAAAAGCTCCCCCCTCATCTGATTGCTCTGAAAATTCAACACACACACACACA